ATATATTTATACATATATATATATACATATATACACACACAAGTGTGTGTGTTTGTGTGTGTGTGTGTGTGTGTGTGGTTATCAAAGACAGAGTTCACTCTCATGAAGGTAGGTGTACTACTGCCAGGGTCGACAATCAAGATGGTCAACGCCGTCATGAATAGAAATATAGACAGTTTATAACGAGGTGCAAACCGCTGTTCAACAAGAAGGTTAGATTAGACTTTGCCAGAAGACATCTGCACATTTGAGGGAAAAACAACAACAAAGATCCCAACACATTTGAAAAGATGAAACCCAGATTAACTTAGACCAGAATAATAGGAAGTGAAAAGTGTGAACAAGGAGAGAAACAGCTCGTGATTCGAAAACCATACCACATTACCTGTCAAAATAGTGGAGGCAATGTTATGACATGGGCATGTAGGCCTGCCAGTGGAACCAGTGACGTGACCGTTAGCTGATTTGAACTCAACAGACCAAACAGAGAGACATACAGTACAAGCAAGCAGCAGCTGAAGGTGGCTACAGTGAATACATGGCTTCTAGACTTCAGGCAGTTATTGATTATGAAGGATTTTCATCCGAGTATCAAAACAATCCTTAAATTCAGTTTGTTTGGGGCCTGTGAAAATGGGGAATATGTATAAAAACGGCTATATATATATATATTTTCCTAAACAAGCAATGCAATACTTGCTGAAAAAACTTTAAGTGGTCACTTCAGTCAAATCTTGGTTGTGTAATTAAAATGCACTGTGGTGATGTACACAGACAAAATAAAAAGAATGGTGCCATTATCCAAATGAGTCTAACTGTATGGTTCTTTACATTTAATGGTGCTCAGAAAGCACACTGTTCACAGGGTGGCTCCTACAGTTATTAATCCTCTTCACCTGAAATCTAACCCTCACACCCAACTGATTCCTTTCAATAAGAGCCCAGAAGCAATTTTCTGTTAGGCCTTTTGTAGAACATATGAAACATTTCCAAGACCCTTTATGTTCAGGTTTAGGTTTCTGTGTTTTTGTAACCAGCAACACAAAATGCATGTTTTTTCTGTGCAGCCAGCATCCCAAATGACTCTGCATAAGTCAGCATGAGCCAATTTGACCTTACATTAGGCAGCACCATATTCTCCCCAACACAAGACCAAAGGGCATCAAGTCTCAGGCACTTATATGGCATCAGTAAACATTTGATAGCTACGCACAAAATTTGCAGTCTTTCATCACTAAAGCCTTAAAATGCATTTTCTTTTCTTCTGGCGACGCTAATAATACTGATCATTTTCACTTTAGCTTTTATTTGCCCAATACAAGCTGGCTGAGCTCACATACTCACTCACAACATCAGCCTCACTTTCTGTTTCACATTCAAACTTGTCCTGGGAGAATACTCAATAATACCTCCCACTTGTACCACTGGCAGCTGTGTTTACTGTGACGGTGCCGTTTTCTGTGTTGGAACTGTGTGTTTTGGAAAATAAACACTTGATAAGGTTTTGGTAGTCATCTGATTCTTTGTGTCTAACACTAAGCAGCAAAGAATATAGCTGAGAATGTGTTATAGTGTCATAGCTTTGCTAATAATAACCTCCTCCAGTCACTTTGCATAAGAATCTCACTTTATATTAACACCAGAATTGGGTATTTATAAGAATGCTGGTTTGTAGGGATGGATCTCTTTGTGACTTTATAAACAGTTAAGTCATAGTAGTTATAATGTGTCATGTAGTTCAGTTATTTTAGTTTGAAGGCAAGCATTTGAATACTGGACTTGAAATACATTATTTTTAGTGCTTATAATAATTAATGGTTATGCATTACAATATCTTATAATGTCTTAATGATGTCTTATTCAGAGAAAGTGTTACATTTTTTAAAACGCACAACAACATCAATGTCACATTTGCATAAAGCTGCTATTTACATTTAGGTGAAAATTTTCAAATCTTACTCTGAACTGATGATAAGGATGATACTTCAAACTGTACTTCAAAACTCTCCCAAGTGTACTTATTCATAGAGCCCAAGGTCTTCCAGCTGTGACTCACTAAATCTGCTTTTTTCCATGTGGGGATTTTCCTAAAATGCTCTGGACTTAAGGGGTTGATAAACTTGCATATCATTGAAAATCTATCATCAAAGGGAGGTGCACCAAGCACTAAAGCAGAAGACAGACGCTCTTTATGAGAATTACCAGCCCCCCTTTTCTCTGATCGATCACTTTGTGTCGGTAATACTACCAGCAGTGCAATTACCTGCAGCATCAGGTGTGCTGTTCGAATCAATGGTATGTTGTAAGAGTTAGAAGGTAAACACTGCCAAAAAAAGAAACAGGAGTACTTACTGTATTGACAGTTCCTCCCCATGTATTCTCCTGGACATTCACAGGAATAGTTGGCAACCAGATCTGTGCAAATGCCCCCATTCTTACACGGGTCCCTTTCACATTCGTTAATATCTGGAAGAGGCAAGAAAAAAAGAGAGTGCATTCATTTATATGAAGCAGACGTGGGCAATTACAAAGACTTCATCTTCATTAAAATGGATTGGTAGGGAGCACATATTGAATTTTCTCTGCGTGTTTCTCAATTCTGTGTGCACATGGAAGCTCACACAAAGACACAGGTTTCTTGGAACTAATAACTCAAAAACTCAGAGGAAGATTATTTTTGCTAGAATATAATCCACTTCTTGACAGTTTACTTTCTTTGTAGTATTTTTTCAGAACATACCACATCATTTGGGTAGTTTGCAAAAAGCCTACTTAGGTTAGCAAAGTATGGGGTTTATTCATCAGAGCTATACCTACTGAGATAAACACTCTTTGAAATTTCTACATGCAGAATTCTCTATATACGCTTTACACACACACAGCAACACACCAGCAAATGTCTGTCAAGCAGAATTAGGCAGATATTCACTGACAATTAACATTCAAACGAGAGCACTCACATTTTTTAATCATCTTAAATCCAGGCCCCAAGACACCATCCAATGCAAAGCCCTCCAAACCCAAGAGATGATCCCAGAAAAGAGTCCCATGTGTCAGCTAGTGTTGATACTACGCTGCCTCCTCTCGAACACACGCTGATCAGTCTCACAACACTGCTTTCCAAACACCAATCAGAGTGAACCAAATCAAAACAACGCACAGAAAGCTATCTGAAACACTGGAAAGAAGAAACTAAAACCCAATGCAGACTCACATGTTTTATTTAGTGCTAAACAAAGACTATGAATTGGAAGAATATCTCCTTACCATCAGAGACAGAAAGCAGAGACAGATCCTAAGCCAGTATAAGCTCGGTGAAAACAAACTGGCAATCAAACGAGAAAGACACAACAAGGCATGGCAACATAAAGAAAGCCCGACATGTGATTACTGTTTGATAGGTAAGGTTGAAACAGAAACAGAGATGTATTTTCCTCCTGAAGTGTAAAAAATTTAGTGAGGTAAGGAACACTTCCTTTAACCAATTCCAAATTTAAATAGACATTTCAAAGGAGAAGGACAAGGCACATCTTCCACACATACACATACAGTATGCATAGAATTATATATTAATTATATGCGTTTATTTAAAAACTGCCATGCCAATAAAATAACTTTGAATTGCTGAATTTGAACTAAATATAAATGCTGAATGTACTAAAAAAATAATAAATTAATAGAAACTTGTTAACTTGGTTACATTATTTTCTTTATTCCAATGGTGGATTCAGACCATCCTTAATGCATTACTCAATAACTCGAGGAGTCGTCTGAATATAATTGAATAACTAATATTTCCATATATGCAAAAAAAAAACTTCTTTTAGGAAAAAAAATTGTTGTCGTTGTCTTACAATATCAAAAGTTCAACGAGAGGGGAGACTTGTGTGGGCCACTGCTTTACAGACAAACATCCACTTAGAAAGCATCAAATTTATCACATTTAACAATGTTATTTTTCTAAGTCAGAATAACTGCAGCTGAACTCCTGTATATCTATGGTGCTATAAAATACCTACACTAAAGTGGAAGACGGTGATGACACACAATTTTGCCCCACTGTCAGAAGCTTTTTCCAGCGTGCTTGTTATCCTCTGTCTCTTCATTCAAGTATCACAGATACAGGAGAGCAGAATGCGTTATCACCTTTGCTCTGTAATTGCGCTGCGAAACAGATTTTCTCTGACTGATTCATCAAACTGGTTATCGAAGGTGACACAACTCCAACCCCACCCATTACACCCCATTTGCACTCTGTTCTGTTACAGGTAGAGTTAACAGCAAGAAATTACAGGGATGATTTTGAAGCAGCGAGAGGAAAAGTGGTGAACTTTTGAACAATTTTTAACAAATTTCTAATGATTTGACTTCCAAACTTGCCTATGGCTGCTACAAGACTCCTCTAACACCTACCCTGGGCTGTCTGCGAGTTATAAGTACATTTTGGCTTCATGAATGTGTAACTAGGCTTGAGATTTGGGAAGCTTAAGAAAGTGAAACATGATTAAAGTAAGTCTGTTATGGTGCTTCATCGCTTTAAGATTTTATCTGTAGCGTACACAATAGCGCGAGTCACTTTTATTATCTCAAAATACATCTTTTTTTTTCAGGGGGAATGTTGGACGCTCAGGAGGAATATAGTCAGGTCTTCATGCATAATGGTCAATGTGGTGGTGTGACTAGAAGCAGGAACGTCTTTAATCTGCAGTCGAGCAGAACAAATAAATAAATGGAGTGAAATAACAGACGTACAGAGAGAAAGATGTGAGAAATGTTTTGTTATTGCTCAGTAATTTAAAGGCAAACTGCAAGACAACTGTATTTGGGTAAAATTATATTTTGATGAAACTGAGCGGTAAAGCATTTCCCAAAACATAATAAAGTTTTGCAGATTAAACTTGAAACACACCGTAACAAACACTGTTTTCCTTTATCTGGTATGCAGGACGTTTGCCTGTGTGTCGGTCTTCTATCGGACATTTAAAATTAGATATAATCTTCAGCACAATCTCACATTGTGTTCCTTTTTTTTATTTATTTTTAGACAGCTGTAATGTAACAGTTATCTCACTTCAGATAGAGATAATGTTACTGAAGCTCTGCTATTTGTCAATTGGCTGGGTGTACAGCCATTTCTGTGTAATGCAGTCGATGATAAATCAACTGTGCTGTGAACCAAAATACCGATATTTCAAATGCAATGTAACCTAACCTGTAGAGTTCAATGCATCAGTCTTATATAAATACTTAGCCAGCGTGTGCTTTACAGAGGACAACAATAAGTGCACATTTTCACAGTTGGAGCACAAATCCTCATCTTGAAGAACAGACTACAACAACACACAGAATTGCTGAACCATATGTAGTCAAATCTAAACAGCATGGCTTACTTATATTTGATTATATTGTAAAATACACTGAATATGTTTCAATGTGTTACAGTCCTAGCCTGTCAGCTCCATCTCTGGCAGCCACATGACAATTTTGTGGCAAGTATCCTTTTAGTTTTTAATCATTACACAGGCAGTTTGTGATCGTCTGTGCACGTCTATGCTTGGCTGTTTTTCGCTGCTTCACAAAAAAAAAAAGAGCCATTTTAATACAAAGCCATTAAAACTTCAGTTTTCAGTTGCTGCACGGTCCCATTCCTCCAAAATTACATCATGATTACATCTTTTTCATTGTCCACTAGGGTGAATGCACTAGAGTCTTCAACTGTGAGACGACTGAAGAGATGTACTGAATGCTAAGTCAGAGCCTGGGTTACAATCTGAACAGGAAAAAAGCAAAAACAACCAAAGAGACAATAACAACTTCATGACACTTTTGCAATCACAAAAAATACACTTAGTAAGAGAAGAAGGAGCAGAGTAATGAGGTCTGTTTTCTCAACAACTTAACCATCTTAGGGTTGTGGGGCGAGCTGGGAGCCTGTTCCAGCTGAAATATGTTCATAATTGGTCCACTTTAAATAAGAAATCACTTTGAACAACAAAAAATATCTGATTTATTTTGTAGTACTTGCATAAATGTTGTTCAAGGTTAGATAGCCTAAACCTTTGAATGTCTGTGTTTTAACCTCCAAATTGCTTGCTACAATCAGATACAAACAGTACAGTAATTAGGTGTTATTGTGCTTCACAGTAGCTGATTTGTGTTGGTTTTTTTTAACTGTGCTTTGATAAGCGTAGTATAGGACAGTCTGATTATGGCAGTAGGGGAGCAACACAAACAGGCCCTGCTACTTGCTTCTCTGCAATTTCTTCAACAGATCAGATCAGAAGAATGAGGTGTGCTTGTGGCAGAAGAGCAACACAGTGGTCTCCGAAAGCTGTAGTGGCGACTATTTTTTTGTGCGCATAAAACAAAACAACAAAAAAAAGTATGTAAAAGGGCATGAAAAGCTGATAAATTTAGCATCAAAGTCGCTAAGTTGGCAGCAATGAGGTGAACTGAAGTGTGAAGATCACTGCTGTGAGCGAGAGGGATGTCATTCGCCCAAGCTGAGATGGTAATTATTTCCACATTTTGGAAAAACGAATATCCACATCTCACGAGTGAAAAACACATGCCAAACCAACAAAGGAATATCTGGATAGTCAAAAACAGATTTGTCAAGCTTTACATGAAACTACTCTCACCCTGACAACACATTATTAGCAAAACATGAGCAAAAACATGCTTGTCAGAATGAAACATTGGTTAGAGAAGGTAAATGAAGTGAAAATGGAATATGTTTTATTTAAACTGTAGTAACTCGGGTTGTATAATCACATTACAATTATCAATCTTCAAAACCTCCAAAAGCAAGTCAGCTTTTATTTGTTTAAATGAAGATATTCAAAACAAAACAGCAATTTTAGGCAGTCTTGACAATTACAAAAACACAAAAACTTATGATTATCATGATTATGATTATTACCCACTGAGGAAACAGTTACCCCTTTCATATCACATTAAACTAAAGGTTTTTTTTGTTTTTTGTTTTGTTTTGTTTTTTGTTTTTTTTTGGGGGGGGGGGGGTGTTAATGGCGCTATAAGCTCTATTCGCTGCTCTGCTTTTTTGTCATTGGTTTTCACTTGCTGTCAAATCCATTCATTTTGAAAGTTTGACATTGGTAGTCTCATCCAGTGACCGATCTGTCTGTGTTCTGTGAGCCAATCAAGTCTCCAGCCTCTGTTCTTTAAATGAATTGTCTGTCACTGTCACTTTGTCTCTCATGCTGTCTGTCATGTATCCCTCCTCCTTCCCATCCCCGTTTCATCCAGGTTATTCAGCGGGCCTCTTCCCATGTCTCCATTCAGCCTTTCGCTCACTACATAAGGGATTCTGTTTGATGTCATTTCTTATCACACCATAACCACCAAAAATATCTAAATTTTGCACGTTCATCTGTTTTCATCTCTTTATCAGTTTTTTTTCTACCAAATGCTGTCTCCTTTTTAAAGTTCAGTCTCAATTACCA